TATTAAAATAACCTGTTTGGACACTAATTAAAAATGTTTAGAATTTCTCGTTGTATATAATCATATATTTTTTATTTAATTTTTTTAATAGTACAAGAGTTTGGACACTTGGACATTTGGACGTTTGGATATTTGGACAGTCGAAAAAGTGCTTGAACATCCAAAATGTACAACACTGCGTGTACTGACTAGCTGATTATACTCCACTCATCATTTTTATCGTGGTGAATAAAATAGTTATAGATCCAAGCAATCAGATGTTCTCGATTTAAAGATAATTGAAGAGAGATTTCACCAGCTTGCCAAAATACTTATTATATCACTTGAATCAGGCTCCGGTTATTATTGGGAGATACGTAGAATATATCTAAATAGCAAAAAGAAAAATTTCTCGGGCTCTGCTATGATATATTTAGGCTGTACAACGTGGGCTGATCGGGCCTGGAAAAGACAATCAACTATCCAAAAGATGAAATGAAGCCCATGCTTTTATAGAAAGATTTGCTTGTGTAACAGTATATTGTATAAATACGCCCATGTCTGTTCGTCATAATTTTCGCCTTAATTCTCGGATCACAAAAATCTGCTTTCGTTGCATGTCCCAATCATCAGATATTATGAGTAAATCAAATAGTATTGATGACCTAAGCCTAAATACCACAGTAACATTAAATGATGGACACAAAATTCCATGGTTGGGTAGGAATATGTCATCGGATTTCAACGATTACAATGGGAATCAATTAAATTTTATATATAATTAAATTCAGGATTAGGAGTGTATCAAGCTGAGCCAGGTGTTACGACTGAGAAAGCTGTTTCATGGGCATTAAAGGTTTACTCGTTACTTTATTGTAATGAGATAACTTATCTCGTTTTTATGATAATTTGCGCATTTATCTCAAGTATGATTATTTTAGGCTGGATATCGTCATATTGATACTGCTGCACTATATGGAAATGAGGAAGACGTAGGAAAAGCAATCGCATTAAGGTACCCAAAACCTCCATCTATCTAATGTCCAGAATCTAATATTTCTTGACAACAGTAAATCAACACTGTTACTTTGACCCATACAATCATCGTAGCGGCATTCCACGTTCCGAAATCTTTGTCACCACCAAAATCTGGAATTCTGATCAAGGATACTCGACGACTCTTCGCGCAGCAGAAGCCTCACTATCTAGGCTTCAAACCGGCTACATTGATCTCTTACTTTTGCATTCGCCGCTCCCGGGAAAAAAGAACCGACGTGAGAGTTATTTGGCGTTGCAAGAGCTTGCGGCGAATGGCAAAGTGAAGAGTATCGGTGTGTCTAATTACGGAGTGCATCATTTGACTGAAATATTGGATGATCCGGAAATTAATATTAAGCCTGCTGTTAATCAGATTGAGGTTTGTTCATCGGGATGGAGACTTTTTCTATCTTTGTCTTAGATATGGAATACGATTGACTTTTGCCGTTGTAGGTTCATCCATGGTTATTGCGAAATGATATTGTCACGTTTTGTCGAGAGAATGATATATTAGTCGAAGCATATTCGCCTTTAACAAAGGGACTAAAATTAAAAGAAAGTACCTTAGTAAAAATCGCAGAAAAGTATCACAAGTCTCCCGCGCAAATTTTAATTCGATGGGTAAGGTTTAAGAGTCCGATTAAATATCTTGAGCGACTAGTGGAAGCTAATTATTACGGATGACTTTATTCTTAATCCCATTGTCGGATACTAGAGTCTACAAAGTAAGTTCGTGACGCTACCAAAAAGTGTCAATCACGGACGTATTATCGAAAATGCAAGTGTCTATGATTTTGGAATTGAAGATGAAGATATGGAGACGCTGAATGGATTGGACGATTATTTTGTTACTGGCAAGTAGTGTTTGTTTATATTAATTTATTTATCAAAAATTATTAATGACAATTTATGATTCAGGATGGGACCCTACAAAATCTGAATAGAGTGTTGTTCATATTCAATTAATAATATCGATTTATTTAACAAGAACATCCAAATTACAATGTCGTAAATAAAGCCATTGTTATTACAGCATCAAAAAATTGTAATATTACAATATATATCTTAACTCGGATTCTAAGAAGTTTTCGCGTACAGTTCGATGATAAAGTGTACATTTAAATTTGAAGTATTACAAAAAATTAATATAAATAAAATTTTTGTTCAAATTAAAATATTTTGTTTTTATGACTGATTGCAAGGAGAAAAAAGATTTGATCACACAAGTCAATTAACTCGCCAAACAACAGATCAATGTTTCATTGCGTCCACAGTTATTACCCTCAGATCCTAGTAGAAATCTCTTAACTTTGATTTGATAGTGGAGAAATCAACGAAAGGTACAGCCGCAATCTCTGGCGAACCTTCACCTCTCTCTGATTTGGACTTTCCTTTCTTTAGAACATACCTGTCGTATGCCTCTACGTCCAAGGTTTTCGAACTCTTGTATTCACGAAGTATGTGAGGCTCGCTCTGCTGTTGACTAATCCAGAATGCGGCCAGATATGCTGATCGTTTATCGAGATTTTTGTCATCGAGATCTGTGCCACGCATCACTTGATAGAATTTCGTGAGTTTTTCTTCACATCCGTCAAGATTTTCAATTGGTTCCCAGCTGAACGAGTTGTTCGTGTTTGCATATTTGATTAGTTCGCGTAGAATTCAGTAGAACGTGTAGGTTTTGTTTTGTTAAGCTAATGGACTTACGTCTCTTTTGTCCAGCCTTTCCATTTGACGGAATATAATTTACGCCCCTAATAATCATCACATCAGAGATCCATTATTTTATGCAAGTTTTCATAAAAATCATGGGAATATCACTTGCATTCTCCGTTTTCATCGAATTAATGCTTTCTACTTCATATCGATCTTCTTCCATCGGGACATCATCCTGCTCGACCTCTGGCATATCATCAACAACATTCTGTGGTTGTTTCTCCGAACCATAGTTCGAGTAACGACGATCACCTTTTGCATTGAAAATTGTTTTGAATAATACATTTTATGTCTTGATCAAGAACGCCGGAATAAATAGTCTTGATGTATGGAAGAAACACTAATGCAGAAATGGCTGCATTCTTTCTCCGGTCGGTCCCGAACTATTCCGAGCAACACCAAAAACCACTTATACAAACGCAAACTTTTAATATACCATGAGGCGGCCGTTCACTACTTCCATCTTGTTGGACAAAGCTTAATCTTTTACTCCTGCCACTGCTTGACATTCTAAAAATTTTGGGAACAAAATGTCACTTGTCCTCTTTAAGAAATTACATGCAGCATGACATAATACGTAGTCATTGGTAGACTCTACGCGGTGCGCAGTTTTATAATGCGCAGTATGACTAATGCCTAATAAAAATAAAAATAGATATTCGAAGTCGCGTTTCGATTTTTTTTTATATAAAAATGTGGCAACCAAAAATTTTCTTTACTAACAAAATTCTACAGCGATCGATAATCAATAAAAATGGAAATAAAAAGAGTGCTGGTAAGGCGTTTTTAACCACGAAAAAAAACGCAGCATTATTTTGTCATTAAAATTTCTGTGTACATAATGTAAAAAAGTTAATAGGTCTAGGGAACTACACACACCCAAACACGCGCCATAGCATAGGAATGTTACTGTTAGATCACCTAGCAGAACAATACAACTTAAATTGGACACGAAACAAGGATTGGCCGGGGAGCGTCGCGACAACCACAATTTCAATACAGCCACCACCACTACCGAAAAAAACTAAACAAAAAAAGCCAAAACAAGATAAACATTTGTGTGAAGATAGTAATAACAGTATCTATGTACCTCGAAAACCCTCATCTGAAACCGAAAACAATGTATTGATGGTTAACGAGAATCAATTGAATGACAATAGTAATGGTGTAAAAACATCACTGTCATCATTAACAATACCGAAAAAGAAGAATGAAAAAGTTTTACCGGTTTCTTCGTCGCCAATAATACAATTAGACTTGACTTTAATGAAACCGAGGCTATTGATGAATATCAGTGGGAGATCAGTTAGTAAAGCAGGTGATTGTCATCATTGATTTTATTGTGATTTTAGATTGGTACTAACTAATATTTATTTTAATGATAGTCAAAGAGCTTGGTTTTTCACTTTCAAATGTCATTGTTATTCATGATGACATGGAACGCGAACTCGGAAAAATGAGTATCAAAAATGGAGGAAGTGCAAAGTAAGTTCGATCAATTACTATAAAGATTTATCCAAACTGATTACTTAACAAATTTAATTCGATAATAAAGTGGCCACAACGGAATAAAATCTCTAATTGATTGTCTAAGAACAAATGTAAGCATTCGACTAATATTTAAAATCGTCATATTAGTCTTGTATTAACCCATTCTCTTTATTAAAATAGCAATTTCGTAGACTCCGAATTGGTATTGGTCGACCGTCCTCAATCAGCCGTTCGCATAACGTAGTCTCAGACTACGTGTTGAGTCACATCGACTCTACAGAAATGCAGAGATACAAATCTGACGTGTTCCCAAGATGCCAACAAGAACTATTCAAGTTTTGTGCAGAATCAAAGAATAACATCAACGAAATTTAATATAAATCATCAGCTATTTATTCGTAGAATAATTTAATGTACACAAAAACAAAAAATTCTTAATAAATAAACGTATGAATAGTGTTCATAATAATATTTACAACAATTGTAGATAAATCAATTTACAAGGATATACGTGATATATATATATATATATAATAAACTCCAATACTCTATTACTGTCACTATTTACGTAATCGACGTTTATATACTGTCAATTACTGTCACTATTTACGTAATTGACGTTATTCATGTAAATCGACACCCTTAATTCTTTTTCTTTCTTTGTCCACTCCATCATCGTTTGGCCAATCATAACAACTGCCTGATCTGCAGCCAGTACGACACGTTCCTTGAAATCAATCATCAGCGGAAGATACCGAGCATAAGCTTCATATCCGAAAGCTCGGATTGCTTGAATCTGAACCGCGAGAAATTTCGTGACATTTTCAATGACATAAGGGAAATATAAAGCCCAAGCCTCTGAAAGACTGGCGAAGACGGACGTTGAGACCTTTGTCAAAGTATTTGTAAAAGTGGTGAGGTAAGGACGGATTGATTGACAAAACAGGATCAATGTGCTGGATATCATGCCAGATATTATTTCGGACCGGTGCCAAAGATACGCGAGTGCTATTACACTCCATGCAAATATGGCTTTTACCGTTCGGATCGCGACTAAAATCGCGACAAGGATCACAGTAGTATAGAAAATACCAAGAAGTGTAATGACAGGACGTATTAATGGTGCAAAGACGGCCCATAAACTTTGGAGTGTTTCCGTTAAAGTTCGTCGAACCAAGTAATACGCACTCGTGAAAATCCGCTTTAGATCCGCGTGAATTATAGGAATAGCATGTAAAATGGGAGCAACAATATCTTTTGCGCATACCGAAAGAATATATACATCGACACATGTACGAGAAATTCCTTCGATCGTGCCAAGAATTGATCTTCTAACATTCTCTCCGATTTCTGGGATAAGAATATCAATCTTTTGTTTAATGCGGGAGAGAATGGTTCCCTCATAAATAAACAAGTAAACCTTTTTGACAGTTGAGCGAATAATCGGATCTTGTAAAATTCCCAAGAAAAACCAAGTCACTTCACAAATGCCAGCAAGGATTAATTGTTCATACAAAAAGATTGCCAGCAATTTTCCGTTTGATATTGCTTTTTGATACGAAGCGGTTATCAATTTTTCGACAAATAGAGCAGTAGGCTCCAATATATTAATCCAAGCAGTGGTTGCGATTTTCCATGTAAAAACACAAAGATCTCTGAAATCTTCCGACAAATCTCTGGCAAGAAAACACGCACAATGCCACATAATTCGTTGAAGGTAAATTGCTCTCGGAATAATCCAATCCACTGGCTCAACAACCAATGCATCGAAAAGTCGAACCAAGAACATACAAATCGGGTATCCAACTTCTCTCCAGCCTACTTTTGACAACTCTACACTGCTCTCGTAAAAATCTTTTGCTAATGCTTTTCCTTTCTCGGCCGCATCAACAGAAATTCGATAAGTAACAATGCTATAATGTTTGATAACAGGCCACACGTATACTTGCATCCAATCAATGGACGCATTCGCGAATCGGAGAAACGGTGTTTTAATGTGAGAACAAAACCCCGAGCGAACCGCCGATACAAACTTCGGCATCGTTGTAGCACCCCATTTAATAAAATCAATCAAATAGTATACACCTGCTTCTGCGCTATCAAGCGAGTAAAATACAAATAGTCTAAAGGCATCCCAAGCAAGTCTTAGAAGTAAATATACAAATGCGAAGGGAATAAATGGAACAAAGACAAGAGGGTTTTGTTGTTGTGGTATGATTTTTTGTGAATTTGTTGCATTTTTTTTATTTTTTGTAAAAAATGCATCACGCAAACGTCGCCAATTTTGGTAGTCTTTTATTGCAACATAAAGATACAACGAGGAAGTTAATAGAAGAAAGGCCGTCCAAAAGAGCCTTGACGTACTAATAGCATTGTTATGGGGAGAGCTTTCGCTCGAATGTGTATTTTCAGAAGTCATATTTATCTGTGAATCTTCCGTTTCAGAGTAAAAATTCCAAATATTTCTCGTCTATAGGCATCCATTTATATACATGTCATTTCCCACCTTTCCGCAGACAAGTTACAATATTTTATATAGAGAATATGTCATCACATAATGTCAAAAATGTATTGGTTGATATCTGAACCTATGACATTCTGTCACGAAATTTAGTACATTCGTAATAGAAAATAGAATAGAAAATCAATTGTATGACTTGATTTTGAGCCTCTGATTTTCTTCCCGCAAACGTTCAACTTCCTCCCGAAGTGCCACCGACTCTCCGCAGTACTTTAGAAACATCATTTCCATTTCAGTCTAGTGCACATAAGAGTTAGAATTAATAACAATAAATAAATAAATGCACAAACAACGCCATCAAAGGATTACTGACTTTTTGTATATGAAACTGTCGAAGTAGTTCTAGATGCATATTTTGTATATCATTTCGTAAGGATGTTCTGAATTCATGTAAGCAATCTTCAACAATATTTTCCAATACTTGGTACTGAAATGATGGAGTTGTGTCATTATTGTTGCCATCTTTTGTAACCTTCATGACACCATTTCCCATAGTAGAATCTGTAGAATCCCCATTCAAGTGTGCGACTCCTCCAATACTCTCTTTGGCTCTTGTCACAATCCCATTCTCATTCAATTGTGCGACTCCTCCAATACTCTCTTTGACTTTTGTCACAATCCCATTCTTTAGTTTATCCATAGATACCGAGTTTATCAACATGTCCGGATTCCCTATTGAACTCTGCTTATCATTTTTCACGTGAGGAATCTGTTCGCTCTGTTTATTTTTGTCCCTTGTTGTTGATTCATTTACGGTGCTAGTTAGCGGAGAGGGTCCGGAGTTTATTGACATGTCAAGATTCCATATTGAATTTTTCAAGCCATTCTCTTCGTTCTGATTATCTTTTACGGGAGAAAACATGTCCATATAATTCTTGTCCTTTGCTGTTGTTTCATTTTTGGTGCTGGTGGTTGGAGGAGGAACAGATGATCGTGATTTAAGAGCAGAGAGCCCTTTAGTTGGTGTGGGAGAAATCACACTACTAGTAATGTCTATTTGATTCTTTTTTTTTGATTCACTTGTTGGCGGTGTTATTGTAGCAGTAGCGACTTTTGACTTAGTATGAGCAGAAACAGCAGTAGTAGTACTAGATGTTGATCCCCTAGATGATGTACGAGTGTGACCTTTTGTTTTTGCATTTGTGGTGCGTCGTAGTTTATACTAGTTTATAAATTTGTTAATTAGTAACAAATCGGGATTCACAGAAACTGGATCATTAATTTTACCTGAAAACGAAGAGATTGAATTGGACGTGGTTCGTGCCCCAACAACGTATAAATTGGTTTGCTAAGTGAACGGAGATCATACACAAGAATTTTACCTAAGAAACATTATCAGATAAATATCTGGTTTAAATTAAAAACATCAGGACTAATAGCAATGATCATAATCATCATTATAAACGAGGGTATGACATAAATGCTCGTTACCTTTATCTGTGCCTGCAGCTAATGTATACCCATCCGGCTTGAAGGCTAACGCTGTTAAAGGACACTCGGTGATTAAAGTTTTCACGTCCCTACGATATAATGTGCAAATAGGTCAACTTCTCATCACGTAGCTTTGCGTAAAATCACAAACGCGATTTAAATTTAAATAAAAAAACTTACTCTTGTTTCCCCACATCATAAAGCACGATTCTTCTGTCAAGACCAGCACTGGCCATGAATGTTGAATTATAAGGCGAGAATGCAATTCCCTTTATCGAATCATGATGCACACTATCGAACGTCCGAATGGCTGTCGTGGATACACAAGTATCCCATAGTCGTAGTTCTTCATCGTCACCACCAGCTGCAAGCAAGCCTTGCTTGAAGTAAGAATATTCAAGAGTGTTGATAGACTATTTGGCCACATGTTAAATTAAAAGTAAGTTTGGATATGTATATATTAGAAGCCTGAGAATAAATGTATGATTATAATACCCGATTCGTTACTCCCGTCGTCAAGCTATTTGCAGTGGATTTTTGTCGATTGTGTACAATAATATCTCCATTAGAACTAGAACTTGCAATTAATGTTTCATCAAGATTCAAATCCAGACATGTTATCGTGCTACTATGTCCCTTAATTATTGAGAAAGCACAATTAATAAAATATAATACAATAGAATAACAGCGAAAAAAAAGTCTTGTTTTCTAAGCAATAGACAAACACGAACTTTCAATGAATTACTGAATTTTTTTTCTTCCACGTCCCATTCATGCACGATGTTATCTGATCCTCCAAAGATTAAGCGTCGCAACTTATCAGCCCAGCGAAGTGCATTGATATCTGGATAATCCTAGAAAAATAATATTAATAATCGATTAGGCAAAAGAAAAAACAGGCACCCAATTTTCGTGCAAATATACCAGAATGCTCAATGATATCGATTCAATACGTGTTCCTTCTTGATTATGTATCGTTATTGAACTCTCATTACCAACCACAGCAAGCAGCTGATCTTTGAATATCATCTCATTAAGAATAACAAGAATTCGCACGCAAAAAATTTAAAGAAAAACCCTAAAAGGATACTATCATGACTCCATCGCACACAATTAACGGCAGTTGAGTCCAAAGGCGAAAAAGAAGCGAGCTCTACACCGTATAGTGTTTTATTGTTATTATTGTTGGCTGCTGCTGCTTCTGTAGAAGAGGTACCATTCTTCGGATTTGCCCCATCAATTTCTCTCAAATCCCATATTTTAACATTTGTTGAGGCGGAAGCTAGGTAACTAGTTGTCATGTTTTGTTTTGAATGTATGTACTAAAATTCGTACACCTATGTGTGTTCTTTTTAATAGGAGATTTCAAAATGCCGGTTCCTAAAAAGAGTATGCTAAAAATGGTGGATGGAAAGTTTTATTCGTTTTTTGTATAGTAAAAAAATGTACCGAATGACGCGAATGTTGCGAATGTTATATTGCTGATTTTGCTAGTTCGAAAATTCCCAAAAATTCTATAAGTAGCGTAGCACAAATGTAGTCATTGTCTCGAAATTTTTCTTTTCATTGAGCTTATTGGTTTGATACCAGAAAGAATGCCACAGTGGGGTCGGAATTTGATCAGCATGTAAATAAAAACGCGTAAAAAAGCCATGATATTAATCGCTATGTTATGAAACTCGAGAAAATAAGAAAGAAATAATTGACATATCCTCCGAGAATCAAAAAATGGAGATGCAGAAAACAGATTTTCATTTAATATTTCCCGAATTTGATAATATATTGTGGATATTATATACAGTGTTTAATTTAATATATATATGTCAACCAATGAGTCCGAGCTCATTGGTCCAATATGAAGCATTCAGTAAAAATTCACTTTTTCCAAATGCTTGATAAATTCATTTAATGTAACGAATGTCATGGCTGATTGAATTCAAGATTTACTATAACAAGAATTTTTATATAACAAATTTATTGGAAATATTATTTATACAAGAAAATCCGCAGATATCAATCAAATAATATCCGAATTATGTCTAATTACCCATATGACCTGAAACAGGCACTTTAGGGCGAGTCTATGACTCATAAAAACAGCGTGCTTCTACATTAACAACAATAACTGCCCGAACAATATCATTAACCACCCGAATAGCAATAATCGAAGACCGGATAATTAAAAATAGAAACGTCGTATAAACCACCCAAGATCGAATCATTCAACCTTCAAAAATTGATTCAGACCCGGGAATCTATTACATGGAAATACAAATACTATATATAAACATGATTGCAATTGATGGGTTTATCAGCTACAATTGGAAATTTTTTTTCTTTGAGCAAAATTTCTAACTGTGATAATCACTTTAATTCTATTTATTATTGCTCACTATTAGAATTTATAATATTACAAAATGATACATCATTGATTTTTGGTAATACTCTTTAGAACATAAAAAAATTTCAGATTCTTGTATTTCATACAAATTTGTCCATTTTTCTTTCAAAGAATTATTTCTTTTTATCATAAAATTTTTCGTACTAAATTTATATGTTTTAAATTTATTAAGAATAATTTGAAATTCAAACAATTTTTTAATTTGAGAATTCCAAATAAAATAATTTATGCCAGAATAAATAAAAAATTCTGAAATGAAAATTAATATTACCAACAAATCTGATAACATTTTTAAATTGAATAATCCAATCTTGAATTTGTTGAATTTCTAATTTTGTTGAACACCAGATATTTATTAATTATTATTTATTAACAGTTGAATTTAAATACTTTTGCAATATTCAATATTGTTATAATATATAATTTTGCAAGTTTTCTTTTTGTATCATTTATATATTTATATCATTAAGAAACATTAATGTAGTTGTTTTAAGATTATCAAAATTTTCTTTATCATAAGTACAAATAATGATTATTTTGATAATATTCAGAATTAATGTTCTTATATATAAATTAATAATTTATATTATATATAAAATTAGTATATTAAACTTGAAAAATCATGAAAGTAACACAAATATTTAGTTTTTGAAATTATCTGACAAGTTTTTTTTTTATAAATTTAATGATTTTTTTTGGCTTTTCAAATAGTTTTGAAATTTTTTCAACAAATTATTTTATATTACTTATTTAACTCTAAAAAATAAGCATTTGTTTAGAACTTTTATTATTCTTTTCTGAATTTCTAATTATAATATAATCTCTTAAATTATATAATTAATTGAACTTATTATTTTTTAGATATCCAGAAAGATTTTTACCAGTACAAAAAGATATTCATCAAGAGCTTTGTGTTTGTATAAGACATTGTGCTAGTTAAAGACCAAGTATTCTTTTCTAAAGTATTTTAAGAAATAAAGTATTCTATAATGCTTTAATATGAATCATAATCTTCAAACTATCTTTTTCTACTAATTACGAACTTCCGTGTCTACTTTTGAAACTTGAAAGGTTCATAGGAATTAACAATACTCCATAATTAAAGGTTTGATTTTTGTACTTTCCCAGTCATGACGCAACAAAGATAAATTATCAATTTTGTTTTGTTTATTTCCTATTCATCGTTAAATAAACTCGAATCTCTTACAAACACACTACTATGATCCTTCGGAGATCTGATTGCCAAAAAATGATTGCAAAATCAAAAAATGACGGCCGGCAACTTTGAACGTCAATATCTCGCCAGCCTGTAATCTGATTTTTACGATTCGACTCGCCTAATTAAGGCGAGCATTCTGGTGTCCGGATCGCAAAAATATTGACGGAGATGCAGTCTCCAAAGTCGATGTAAAAATCGCGAAATGTCTGAACAAAAATTCACGGGATCACATGATAAACAGATCACGTCCCCCAAGTTGATGTCAACGTTACCGCAAGTAATTCGCAAATATTGCCCAAGCTAGGGTTCCATTTTCCATTCTTGTCATTCAAATATAGCGGGAATGTGTAGTTTGTTTGATAAAGTAAAAAGCGATCCAATCACCATTCAATTTGTCTAGTTAAGACAAATCTAATAATAGTTAGATCGCTTCGATCCGTTTACTGAATCGCGAAACATCGCGTCCCGAAGTTACCGGACTAAAAAAATAATCAATTTATACCTTTTTACAATGCGATATAATATTAGACTGCGCCTCAAAATTTTAAATTTCATAAACTGGTTTTGATGATCCGGCCGGGTTATGAAAACCAAAAATTTTGTTTGTATGGCCTAATGGTTAATTATTACAAAATTATTATTAGTAAAAATATAATGGCTTACAAAAGGAATACATCACTTTTAAAATTTTTATTAAAATATAGTAAAATTAAAATTTATCAATAAAGTATAATAAAATTTTACTTTGCAATTAGAAAAACTTTTTCGAATTAAATCTATTAAAATAGAGATTTTATCTTTATTTTAATATAAAAAGAAAAAATATTTCTTAATTAAATTGAAAATTTTAATATAGAAAAAAACCCGCATTCTACTTTTTGTCAGGATGATGTATAACCAATTCTTTTATAATTATATTATTAAAAATTAGAATTTTAGAATAAATATAACTTATAAAAAATAATTTTATTAAAAAGCGTAATTATAAATAATTATCTTTATTTGTAAAAATTAATATTCAAATTTAGGTATATTTTTTTTATTAAATTTGGTTTTAAATTATTAATTAATAAGTTTTATTTATTGAATATAAATAAATATATAATGCTAAAATAAATAAATAAATAATGCTAAAAAAAACAATATAATCACCTATTTTGTGACATTATATAATGTCTGTTAAAACTTTAACTAAAATATAAAATTTATTATTAATAAGTTACATATATATATATAAAAATCGAACTATTGATAGTGATCAAAAATAAATTACCTTTGCCAAATAGTGCTATTTGGCACTAGAATATTATCTTGCAGAAATTTCTGCAAGAATTGTAAATCTTTTATTTACAATAATTTTTGAATTTAGTTTCTTCACCATTGTGAAATGGATATTGTATGAAATTCTGGCAAAAAAATTGTTTTTCTTGTCAAAAAAAAGAAAGAAATAATTTAAGGGAATTCTTGGTGATTGGGTGAACAGAAATTTACATTTAACAATCTAGTAAATGTACCAAAGAAATTTTTAAAAAAGAACTATGGTCTTTCTTGGGTGCGGGTCTCCACCTTAATAATGTCTAGATAAATAAATGTAAATATAGCTTTTTGAAAGCTTCTAGTGTTCATTTTTTTATGCGTTTTTTAGAAGAGCCCCCACCCAAATAGTAATAAATAAAAGTGTGCGCAAACATGGCACATTTAAAGAGGGAGATAATTTTATGAATTTTTTTATGGATTTATGCATATTTGCATAAATCCAAACAGTGTATGGGAGTGCGTGTGTGGGAAGGCATGTGGATTTCGCCAAATTCACCGTAACAAAATCGCCCGTATAATTTTGGTCATACTAGAGGTTGTAGTAGTTGCTGGGGTAATTTATTGTTTGATGTCACGTCAAATAAATCGATACAGAAAAAAAGAAGACAATTATTAACATCCGTAATTGTTTCTTTCTTTTTTTTTCTTTTTGAAAGATTCAAGTTAACAAAACCACCACATAGAGCAACAATATCGCCGGAAACATAGAAAATATCACCGGAAAAATAATAGAAAGATATAAAATAATTTTTATAGAACTCTATTTTCTTATTGCTCAAAATGAATAACAATTTCTCTCTCCTTCCTAATCTTGCTTTTCTTGCTCGCAACAGCAATAAGCTAAATGATATTTTCAAACATACCTCCCAAATTTATTAGTTTACGTTTGGTTTATTTTTTTCAAAACCTTTCCATCCTCAGAGACAACGAGTATTTTGTGAATCGTAATGCAATGTACATGTAGTAATACTAGTAATACCCAACAAACATCCCGTTAATTTTTCAGAATGACTCATGTAAAAAATGATCAACCAAACTTTTTGTTTTTCCACGCGAAAACTCATAGTTGACCATGTCATACACGAGCAAGAGTATTCTAAAGAGGCTAACAATACTCACATGCTCGTCCGGCTCGTTTTCTAGTTCGCTATTATTCAGACGCGGCGGGATATGTGCAAAATCCTCATCAATACCGTCTATACTGACTTCTCGGGACTCTCATATTAGTCAGCTACATACCCACAGAAACTGTCTGTGTTGTAATTCGCAGACAAGAGGAGCAGGTGGTGGTGGCGCTCATCTGATAAAATTTTTCGGCGGAAAAAATAGCAACGATTGTAATTATAGTAATGTCAACCACAACACTAGCAGCTACTTTAATGGCGGAGATATTGTTAGAAGAATGTACAGTAATGGTACAGCGGAAAAGGACAACATGGAAGGTTTTGATGGATGGTTAAACGGTGGTGAGGCAGAAGCGGTGGAAGAGAAAGAAGTGGATGAGCGTATCGCGGTTGAGACTGGTACACCGGAAGGTGTTGATACTAAACACGGGGGTGGGATTGATCCGAGAGATAAACAGATTGCAGAGCTGAAGGTGTGAATTTTTAATTTTATTGTGAAAAATCTAATGATAAATTATTTTTGATTGATTTACGTAAAGTACTCGTTTTTCATCTGATCCATCAAATTGATCATGATATCTGGACAAAAATGAGCTTGTAATCCTACATTTATTAATATATTCTCAACCGTCAAAAAGAATCATTACCTTCGATCTCTCGCCGACCAAGAAAATCTTCGGGAACGTACACGACGAGAAGTAGAACACACTGCACAATTCGCAATACAAAAATTCGCACGTGATTTACTAAACACCGCCGACATACTAAACCTAGCTCTGAGCTCGGTTCCAAAAGAAGCACTAGAAAACGCGGCAAAAGAAAACCCGCACCTCCATAATCTGTACACGGGGGTCAAAATGACCGAACAAGATCTCTTAAAGACACTTAAAAATTACGGGGTCGAACAGATCAATCCGCTAGACGAGAAGTTTGATCCGAATGTGCATGAGGCGATGTTCCAAGCCCCAGTAGAGGGTAAAGAAGAGGGAACGGTGTTTACAGTTCAGAAAATTGGGTACAAGTTAAATGGAAGGGTAATAAGACCACCGCAGGTAGGTGTTGTAAAGGGAAATGATTAAATGATATAAAGCGAGTAGTGTAAGTAAAAAATATATGATTATAGAACATTGAGTATTCGATAAGAAGGTAGTTAGTGTCATGTTTAATTATTGTTAATATTATTATTATTATTAATTGGAAATTATAGAATACTTCGTTAAATAAAAATTTGCATAATTGGTGTAATGTTTTTACTTATATTTATTAGATCAAATTATACTAATATTTTGTTTCTGATTATAGACACGAATAAATCTAGTTCATATTTAAATTATAAACGAAAGGAAATTACGCGAAATTTAAAGCAAATCATGCATCCAATAATTGATAGTTTAGAATGATTGGTGCTGCACACGATTTTCCGATACATGTATTAAATATGGGTTGATCATCTTAAACTTTAACAAATTATGCCTCCAAGAACAAAGAGAATTAGTAACAGCACTACTAGTGCCTCACGAACACCATTACTGGACGAGACACAACGTCTTATAAATTCTTTTTTATTAGATAATAATGTAGCAGGGCCTGACAGAATAGAAGACGCGATAACACTGCAAGAATTTATTAGTTATTTTCCTCGGAAGCATAGGTGTGGTGGTATACATACGTGTTAATTTTTAAGGCGTAGTAAATAGATATATAACTTGAAACACGTGAATTCTTAATTTTTTATCAAGGACAAATCCCAAGGTTAAACTTTTACATAAAGAGTTTTGCACGTTTCGAAGAGGACTCTCGACCAAAGTTCAAGAGAATATCAAAATCCATTTTGATAGTAAAAGAGAGTGTGGTAATATAGGGCAAACAAATGAAGACAATGAAAATGATGCCGACGACGACGACGCGGAAGATCCAATGGATTTGGATGATGAAGAGTTTAGAAAAAATGTAAGATGAATTATGATGATATTTATTTTATTCTTTCATAACAGTTTGCGCTTTATTTCCTTCGTATTAGACCAATGAGGAAGAGTCAGTAGGAGAATTATTAAAAGAATCTTTTGAAGATGTAGATGATCAGGAGGATGAAGATGTAGGCATGCGGTTAGTGTCATTGCCTGATGTCGTGAAATTGATGTGTAAGGCTGAGAAGGATTTAGAAAGCGAGATGGCTAGGATGGAACGTGAATGTGATCAATTTATAAAGGATATCGAAAGGTATTTACCATAATAACATTTTATTGTCTTCAGCTCAAATATATGTTCTCTCCTTGTATAATTTAATTATATATTATAGGATCAATGGTAATATGTCAGATCTAATATACAGTAAGGTTGGTCCTGAAGGAATTGGCGAAAAGCAAGCAACTAATGAATTACAGGTAATCTTTTATTTAAATATTTTATCACGCGTCATTCAATTTTGTCTTTTTAATACGAATTCTCAAATAAATTAATCAAAAAATAGGAGTTTATAAAACAATGTGATCAAATAATTCAGTCCACTTCGATTAAAGCTTCCAAGTAACAAGCGGACACATTTGAAAATAGAGAGTTGCTCTAAAGATTGTAGAACACTCGAGTTCGTTAATTGCTGCTAGGTAACGCGCGAAATGTGATTTCAAGATATTAATTAAGTCTTTTTGATTGTTAGTAATTTGTTAAGAGTAAACAGTCAACAATAAAAAGAGGATAGTTATAATTCATTGACAACAATGGATCAACGCGTGACTTTCTTCGATTTATTAATCTATTATCATTATACTGTATATTAAATTAATTACAACAGAATAAATTAAAATTCTTTAGACTAAGTAATAATATTGCTGCTATCAAAGCAACAGATTTTTTTACTACAAGGTAATTTCCCAAAGAGAATTTTCATAGCTCAAATAAATTCTGTAACGAGTTCTAACAAGTTCTTACTAGAATCTCAAAACATCGTTATTGTTATTCAGAATTTTGCATTGTATAATCCACCTTGCAAAAATTCTTATTTTCCCTTTCCAATAGTCTGTAAAAGCATTGTTTGAGCTCTCGACCAGCTTCCGGTATTCTTCGTTTTCAGACATACCAAAATATTTTGATACTGAACGTCCGAATGTCGTATAGTCTTTTTTATTTGTGAGAGCAATCCTAAAATGTCTTTGGTGTCTTTTTTACCTCCTTTTTGTGGTAAAGATTTGTTGTTTTGAGGCCGTTGTTTACCCATGTTGTCGATATTTTATGATATTATTAGAGTTTTCGTAATAAATTTGTCAAAAGGAAAGATATGAGGAAGAATTGCCAGAATATTTCGATTTATTTTTTAACCAAGAGTACTGTATTTATTCATTCGCTCATTTACACACAAAGCCCAAACAAAACCTGTCTTGTTTTACCTGAACAAAGTAAAACTAATGAGGTTTTGTGCTTTATGGATTATCATTTGACCTCTGGAAATAGTGATAGTATCACTATTCACTGTATACAGTTGTATCGGTATTTCAAAGGAGCTTTTTTGTGCTTTTGTTTCAGAATTAAATGACTGTTTCTTTTTTGCGCTATTCAGGTTTTTATTATCTCTTAGCAGCATAACGAGAATAAGAAAAAGCTTTATGGCTTAGTCTTATGGTTTTATCTATTTTTTATCATTATGTGTAAAAATGTAATGGTATTATTCAAATCGATATAGAATTGTATCGGTATTTGTCATTGTCATTGTCATTATCATTATCGTAACAATTCATTATACATGCAGCATTATCAAGATCATGTGATATAAAAATTTATCGAACCTCGATGATTTAACGAAAATGAACTCATTTTATATTCTACACACATATATTCAACGAAAACCGATATAATGGCAATAAAATTAATATTTTAAGCAAAATGCCATAAAAAAACTTGTATACCACAATTTCATAAATATTTAAACATAAAAATAGCGAGTTATCATCGGAAGAAAGATAAATACAACATAATATTATATACTTATTGTTATAATTCCAAGGGAGACAAGAACCTTACTGCTTAATAAAGTTTATATAAAATTTCGAAATGAAAATGATTTGTTGTTTTATTAATAAATGTTCTCTTTTTATACATAAACTTAAAAATTTCTTATTTAATTATTTATTTTAGAGTTTCACTATCAATAACATTAATGTCAAGCCAATATTTTGCAAACAAATAATTAATACGAGATTTTTACACGTTTAGAATTTAATTGTTTAAGTTATTTTATTTTATAAATTAATTAATAAAATTTAGTAATAAATACATAAATAATTTTTATTGATAATAGAACTATATTTGGAATTTATATTTCTGTAAAAAAAATAATCAGGCAAAATTATAATTTTTTTAGTTCTGTAAAATCACAGATTTAGTTATAAAATTTCTGGATTAAAATCAAATAAAAATCAAATTAAAAATGGTAATATTTTGTAATTCACAATTTTAATCCAGATAAAAATATATTATTTGATTTGAAGTATTATATTTTATAATTTACCAGATTAAATTCTATAAAAATCTAGTTATTATATTATAAATCTCAGTAAATATATAATTTTATTTTTATTTAAACTTGTTAAATAAGCTATGAAATATCAATTCATTTTAAAAAATAAAAAATTCGTTTAGTAACTTTAAAATATAATATTTATTATTTATAAATTCAACAATATTATTATTTAATTATTAAGTTTTAACAAATTGAATTAGTAAATTATAAAATATTATATTTTAATATTATTAGATAATTTATTTTTCTATTTTAAATCAAATTTTAATCCAAAAAAACAGATTTTTGTCTAATTATTTTTTTTATAGAAAATAAATTTCTAAAATTTTTGTACAATAATAATTTAATAAAAATTATTTTTATAGTTATCATCCTTGGAAAAGCAAAATTTGATAACTATAGAGTGATTTTTTTATTATATTTATATATAAATAGGAAAGCAAAATAGAGTAATTATAAAAAAGTGTAACTATAAATTTTTTATTTTGTTTCTTAATTTATTTATTTTTATATATTTATATTACTTATTATTTTATATTTTATATTTTTAATTTTTACTATTTTATATTTTTAATTTTACTATTTATATTTTAAATTTTTATTATTTTATATAGTGACTAACAAAATTATAAAATTATATATGTGATTTTATTAATAAAATATAATAAAAATTAAAATTTTTGATTTATATAAAGTTTTTAATTTTATTAATAAATTTTTTTTTAATTTTATATCAAAATAAAAATTATAAATTATATTTTAATATATATTTTTTCTGGATTTTTTTCTGATAAAGTTGTTTAATTGCAAAGTTATTACAAAAATTTTTTATAATTAAAATATAAAATTAATTATAAAAAATTTTATAATAACTTTGCAATTAGAATAACTTTATCAAAAAAATCCAGAAAAAATATATATTAAAATATAACTTATTTTAATATTAAAATATAACTTATTTTAATATAAAAATAAAAAATATTTATTAATAAAATTAAAAAATTTATATAAAACAAAAATTTGAATTTTTATTAATAAAATTATATACATAATTTCATAGTTCTATTAGTTACTATATATAAATTATAATAATAATAAATTATATATAAAATAATATATAAGTTATATATAAAAATTATATAATTTTAAATTTATCCAATAAAATATAAATAATTAAATATGAAATTTTTGTTTTATAAAGAAAGTTTTATTTTAATTAATAAATATTTTTTGTTTTTATATTCAAATAAAGCTAAAAATTTATATTTTAATATATATTTTTTTGTAAATTTTTTAGATTTTATTTTATAAAATTTTTCTAATTGTAAAATATTCACAAAAATATTTTATAATTAAGTTTAAATTTTTAACTTTATTTAAATATAAAAACTTCTTTATAAAGCAAAAATTTTAATTTTTACTATAAAATTTTATATATATAACAATTCATTATAGATTAATATAAATAATTAAATTAAATAAATAAAATAAAATAAAAATGATTAATTATTAATAATATTATTATTAAAAAATATATAATTTATTTGAAAATAAAAATAAAAAATTAATTAATTTTATTTACTAAATCAAATAATTAAACTTATAATATTATAATTTTTTTATTTTTAGACTTTATTTAATTAAAAATAAAATATAAACTTGAATATTAAACTAATAAAATCTTTTAACAATTAATTAAACAAATTATAATTATATTATAATATTACTATTTTATATGATTTAATAACTTTTAAATATATAATATATTATATATATATAGTAGTGCTACGGTTACTTTAAATGAAGGGTTTCTTCACTATTAGTAAAAGAGTCATATGAGTTGGGAGAGAGGAAT